GCCAGTTTTACCAATGTGTAGGTATTCTCTGTATTTTTGTAACCTTACTGCAGTGGTCACCAACCCTGGTCATTGAGATCTACTTTCTGTGGACTGTAGTTCAAAATATAATCAGCCCCCCCCCACCCCAGCTAATGACCTCCTTCAGAAATCCTTGATTGGCTGGATCAGATGCAGTAGTGTACATATGAGGAGAGGCCAGCGTGTTAGATACTCTGGGGGGGAGTCGGTGACCACTGTCATAGTATTTTGCTAAATAAATCCCATTTCATGGACCTCATTTGGTCAGTGAGCTGACACCTGTATGTCCCAATAATTTCTGAATGAGCAGGATCTAGATGGAAACCTTTTGGACTCGTGGGAGGGAGTTCGTGTTCAGTGCCTGTGGTGCTTGAGTGACAGCAAAACTGTGTTGGCCTCAGACACGCACCAGCGTATCCGTGGATACAACTTTGAAGATCTGACTGACAGAAACATGTAAGTACTTTATCTTTAGGCTTGGTCTAACTGGGAATGCGGTACTGAATCTGCTTTCACAACTATCCTTTGGCTATGTTCCACAGTGTACAGGAAGATCACCCTATAATGTCTTTCACCGTATCAAAGAATGGCAGATTAGCTCTATTAAACGTTGCAACTCAGGTACTCCTTTTAATTAACAATGTCTAAATCTTTTGCTGCGTGTTTGTCTTTTACATTGAACTAAATTCGCAATATTGCTCACCATCTTCTCTGATCTAATTTAGGGAGTTCATCTGTGGGACCTACAGGACCGAGTACTGGTGAGGAAATACCAAGGAGTGACCCAAGGCTTCTACACCATCCACTCTTGCTTTGGAGGCCATAATGAGGACTTCATCGCCAGTGGGAGTGAAGGTTAGAATGCATGAATCACTGTATACCAAATCACTACACACAGGGCCTACAAATGAATAGGGAGAATCAAAATGAACTGAATGAATAAAATGAAATGAAGTTGCACTTTTTAATTTATTTTTTATTTTATTTCACATTTGATTTCATGAGTCTGTTGTTCAGTCTGAATTTAGCATAATGTAAATTGTGCTTATTAGTTTAGTTTAGATTGCCTTCTGCATGACTGTATGTTGCTTTCCTGCAGTAGACATCAAGACTATTTAATGAGTTAAGCTTTCCACCAATTTGTCAAAAATTCTACATAATTCAATCATTGATGTGAGCAAAGGCATTCAGAGTGTTTTCATGCAAAATAGTGTGTTGTACAGAAACTTACAGATTCAGATTTCTTTACAGAGTTGTGACAGGATCCAGGGGTCTCAATCTCTACAATGCAAATGCCATTTTTTTACTATTTTATTTACTATCTAAAACAACATTTAATTAGGAAGAAATTATGGCAAATCTGTGGAATTACTCTTTTAATATAACAAATCAAACTGCAGTGTATGAAAAAGACAGAAAACCATTTTACAGGTTCTTGAATGAAATCATTCAGTGAATCCAAGCATTCACTGTTATTCTTCCTAGCTAGGCTCTGTCTAATAGAGGGACTTTTTGTGTCATGCTCTTTGTCCATAGACCATAAAGTATACATCTGGCACAAGCGCAGCGAGCTGCCCATCGCAGAGCTGACGGGCCACACACGCACTGTGAACTGTGTGAGCTGGAACCCTGTGTTGCCAGGACTCATGGCCAGTGCCTCTGATGATGGCACCGTCAGGGTCTGGGGTCCTGCTCCCTTCAGTGATGCCCAAGATGCAGAGGGGTTTAGCGGTAAGAGCAATATTTGCAAGCAACACAAAACTATGTGAATATGTGCTCATTGTGAGTTTAGATGCACTCTAAATTTAGAGTTTTTTAACATTCTACAATTATGTAGCTAATGAGAGGTAGAGATCAGACTTTATGACTTTATTAAATGGCATCACCATTTTTCCTCTCTTTAGAAATCTGTAGCATGGACAGTTGATGTTGACTCTGCAACAGAACGAAAATCAGAGTGATACTATAAACACTGCAAGAAATTAAGGATGAATGAAGTAGAAAACATACACTGATGTTTTTCTGGAGGTTTACCCCCCTCTGTAGCAGTGGAGAGGCCAAACTAATACAGAAAAGCTGGACCACTTGAATGAAGCTTGCCCAGCTGCTGGCCTTTACCTTGTAACCACAGACCTGCGTGGCGTCCCTGTTGAGGTCGGATCAGGCGGCCTCACTGAGGAGACTCTGTAACTGACGTCTGTCTCCTGCCCTCCACACTGCAGCCCTCCGAGGAGCTACAGCTTCACAAACCACACCAAATCAAATCATTATTTATTACTGCTATTATTTATTGTTGTGAATCAGTCAAGGCCTCTGGCTTGAGTTGTAGTGATGGTGTGATTTGTTCTTTACAATATTCACTCTGTGAGGTAATTCTTCAATTATTTTAATCTGTTCTGCTGGTGTGATGTTTAAAAAACCCCTCTCTATGTCATGAGTGAGGGCAGCAGGGGTGTGGAGATATTGGAGGGGTCCTAGAGGTTGGCCATCATATCTTTTTCCGCATGAACTTTTTCTTTTTCTTCAGCCACCTGTGTGAATGTAAGCCTGAGAGAAAGTGTTGTCACCAGCAGAATGTAACAATTTTTTTCCATGTTTAGAACTCTGAAAATAGTTTTAATTGACTGAATATATACAGGCATTTTTAACAGTGAAATCAGATCCATTTTGGTTTATGAGAAATATCTTAAAATGATCCTGAGGTCTTTTTTTCCCTCCATCAAAGATCGTAGATTGGTACTTTGTTTTCTAAAGAATCTGATTCTCATTTGTGTATGATGGTAAGTATGTAAGAACTGGAGACTAAGTGGATGAGTAATGTCTCTTGTTAGATCATTGCTTGCCATAGCCCAGGGTAAGATAGGAAATGTTTAACGAATTGAGCTTGCTTAAATCTTTTAATCTGTCAGATAGCGACTGACCCAACAATGAGACTTAAACTTTCAGACTTGGACGCCATGGGTGTTCTCACTTACCAGCATGCTTCTTGTTCTCTGTTGTCATCCTTGTTGGCAGCATATAAGACCTACTTATAAAGTTATGAGCACATGTAAATATTGACCATCCTTAATGCAAGAATGCAAGGAGTACTTTTCCTTTGTAAATGGCTAATAGATGTTGGTTATATCTGGATTGTGTTTTTGTAGTAAGCTCAAAAAGGTAAGCTTTCTCAGTGAATAAAGTGGCAGTTGGCTTGAGAGAAGATCAAGTGTCATGTAAGATAGGGCTTTAGGGGATTGCTCAGTGCTGTTGGTAATGATCAAGATCCATACAGTTTAAAGGTACAGTAAGCAAGCTAGTTCATAATTAGGCCTTCCAATTATGTTCCTTTTGACTTTTGATTTTCAACCATGTTTTGTGTTTGTATTTACTACAACCCTCATGTGCTAATCCCTTCATGTCAGTCTGCTGTTTTCTTTTTGATCATGTTTTCTTATCGAGTCTTTTGAGTTCCTGTGGTTTTTATGCTCTTCAGCTATACAGTTTATGATTATTCATCACAAAGGTCAGATTTCTCTCCTTTTTGGGGGCTTATTCATTATTGTTTATGTCTAAAGTTATATTGATCCTTTGTTTTACTCATTGTTTTCCCTGAATTATCATATAAAGTATTTCTTGGGAAGTGGCCTCTTAACTTTTTTTTTCTATGTGACGTTCTTATACTTGCTCATTGTTTTACTCATTTTTACACACAGGTGTAGTGTGCAAATATTGAGGTATTCAGAGTGTTACAGTCTGGCCATCAAGCATAAGAAACTTTGCCTATTATGATTTGCTTTGTAATATGTGCTATGTGTGTGTGTATTTTATGGCATGTATTATAAGACTGGTCAAGAATATCACTTAGGCTGAGCGTCCCTTTTCCCTTCAAATGCTGTTGTTTTTTCCACCTGCATCAGGTAAGAAGCTCCTCTGTACAGGTTATCCCTGCACTCACCAGCCAAACCTGTTCCGTCACTGAGGAGTGGCGTGTGCGCACACACAGACACACACCTTAATACCCGTTAAAAACACTGAAATTTCACCAATGTTATGTTTAATGTTCTGCTTATGCAAATGACCTTTTGTTTTCCTTTGGTGACTTAGTATTTCATTTGAGGGCTTGGTTTTTGCTTTCCTGTGATGTGAAAGCATGGCTGCGAGCCTGCTCGTTATCCACAGGGGCCCGTGGTGGAGTTACTGGGCAAACACTTTGTTTTGCATCAGGTTCTGAAGGATCTGTTTTGCATTTAACTGTGTTAATATTCTAAGTGATTGTACTGTTATGTAATGTGTAGGAGAAGTCTTACGTATGCATATTTTCAATAAAGCATTCAGGGTTTTAAAATAGCACAAGTTCGTTTGCTCTTCTAGGGATTTTTGATGTGTGGTCAGACATGAGAGAATCAACCTAGGAACACGCAATCTGGCAGGGCAGTTCATATAAATGATGAGCTCTATAATGAAATTTGATTGTGTGAACTGAGTTCACACTATTTTTATTTGCCTATATACACTTACACCTGTAAAAATCCTTTGGATACTTGTAAACATCCATTTATTCAGGTCATATTCCTAGAATGCCATGCAACACTGAAATAATTTCAAGCATAATTAACTGCACATCTCTACTTTCTATGTGAACTTGAAATAACTGGACCTGCAAGTGTACAGAGCTACTAGCTACACAGGCCACAACCAGGTTATTAAAGGCTTAGATTTCAAGTGCAGCTACTGCCAAGCAATAGCTGACAGCAAAATTCATGTATTCACATTCAGATTGAATGAAACGTGTCTCTAGTCTCCTATGAAACACTTATTTTTAAACGATAGACACAGAACATCAGTTACATACTGGTAAACTGAAAAACCACTTTTGTGCATTACAGCATTACATCTCATGACTGTTAAACTTTTAAAAGTGCAAGTTGTAAACAGGTCACCCAGATATTCTGTGGCAGATACGTAAATGAAAATGAAAAATGAAAGGTCCACACACGTAAGTTTTCTTTTTTTAATTATATTTATAGTGTGATAGATTTCCTGTTGTTGAATATGGGACAAACACTAAATACTGATACTGTTAAACCATTATATGTAAAATACTGTACACTGTAAGTGGATATTCATTTAAGCACACAAAATATATCTCCCCTGTGATCTAAATAAATGCTCTGTTGAGTATCCTCTTAATCCATGATATCCCAGATACAGTACTATTAGAGAATCAGTGTGTCCCAAAAACTCACTTCTTGGGAACATGCTTTTGGTGAGGCTTTGAAATAAACGCCTTAAAAACACTTTGTCTTGAAAAACCCTTTGGCAAAATCCACGTGCCACATAAAAGGCATTTATTAAAGTCAGCAGATTCCATTTGAAAGAATGAACTAGAAAATGGTAGAATTAACAACAGGGTATTTTAGATGTCCTTTTACAGCTGTATCAACTAGAACCTTCAGGGGTGCATCTTTCTTTCTTCATTCAATGTCCTCTTCACTTTCTTTGAAGAGAGGAATTTCCAGATAAAACTGGCTCAGAGAATGAGTAAGCAAAAGAAGAGGGTGGACAGAGACTACCCTCACTGAAGCAAAAGGCTGCCCACCCCATTCCCACAGCAAGACAAAAATCTTGATAAGCCATCTGAGATTTGACTACCACATTTCAAATATGAGGCAATCTGAATGTTAATTTTCGTACAATTTCATTCTCAATTTTATTAAGGAATCATATGCAGCTCTGTTCATCATTCTAGGCACATCTAAAATGTCTTCCTTTTTCCACAGCTTCCTACTAATTAGTTGAAATATTTGAAGTTGCAGAGTGGTAGCATCATGTTGTATTGAAGTAAAAAAGTGATCCCCAACTTCTGAATGGTCATTCCACACTTATGAACACTAGTGTATACATTCTCAGTAATACATCACTGAACAGGTATGAATGTTCAAAATGTCTAACTGCAAACGACTGAGGAAGTTCAAACATTCCCAGTGTCTGTGACTAGGATCAGGAAACTGACTGACTTAAAAAGCTGTCTGATAAATTCTCAAGTTTGAACTTACATAGTTTTAAGACTAAATTAGTGCCAAGTAAACAAATACTCTAGAACTTGTTCTTGCAGAATTCACTGAGCAGTGAAACATCCAGCAGTTCAGAGACAAAAAAGACTGTCCTACAATGTTTTGCAGCTGAAAAACAACCTTCACTCACACATACGTCAATGAGTGTTGAAGAGCAGGACCTTTCAGCTGATAACTGTGTGATTTTGGGCCATTCTTGACTGAAAACCTCTAACCCCTAATTAACTTAATCAGGGGTGTAACGATTACGGCAGGGGCTAAACTCCGCAGGGCCGGGTTGGTTAGCCAGCTCATTCAGGTGGAAAGCTAATTAATGTGAATAAAATTGGAGCATGCATGGAACTATTACTTACAGGTGAGAAATGCTATAGCTGAACAGACCATAGTGCACTGCCATGAAAGAGACTATGACCAAATGTACATTAATATTAATAAGCCAGCAGTTCCCCAGTTTATTACCCCTGAGCATAGTGTTTTTCATTCTAACTGGACACTTTGAGATACCAATACTAAGATGAGACAATGGCGCTCAAATCAACAAATCAGTTTTACAGATGAATGAATGCATTTGTTAAAATGAAAACCAGAAGGCACAGAGGTAACGATATCTACCAATGTGATCAAACTACCTAAAAACATAGTAACCATAAAGCAGAAAACAGCAGAGACAGTGACATTGGATGAAGCCTAACAAAATACCATATATTCCAATTTAAAGTACATTAAAGCATGCTTGTAAACGTAAGATGTGCTTATTAATTACATATCCTATTTATCCCATTACATAACCCATTTGGAGCCACAACTACTCTGATAACTGACTAACAATAAAACATTGTATAAAAAAAAAGTATTCCAGCAACTAACAATAAAAAAATGATCCATCTTGGAGACAGGTGGACACATGTACGATGACAGCATATTTAAGACAAGCTTGCCAAGATGACATGCTGACAAGCTCTAAGCCAATCAGTCACCCCGATGAGTCAGTGCGATTGTCATGTTGCTCCAGCCCTGAGAAGCAGTGCATGTTGTGAGCAATGTAGGGTCTTTAGAGCCACCTGAACAAAAAGCTAATAAAGCAACAACATAGAGCTGTACTTCGTAGCAAATACATAAGTAAAGAATACATAAGAACATCTGTCTCTCAAGTTGATCCGGGGCAGCTTTCAGATTGCAAAACTGTTATTACAGTAAGGGGAAGGGTTTATGCTAAGAATGAGGTGTCTGATGGAGTGTGTTTTCTTGATGTGGCTCTGGCTGCGACTGACGACTGTAGTCCTTCACGGCACAGAGCGGACAGTTTATGATTTGGCAGTTTAGGTTCTCACGTCTGAAGGGCATCAATCATTGATCAGTGCCAGGATCATGCTGAAAGTGAAACCAGAGAGAGAGTGAATGAGCATGGTTCAACCCGGGCAAGGGGCTAGATGGGCAGAAAGGTTAAACAGAAAGGACGTGGTGCAGAAACCTTAAACAGGCAAAACAGGATCCAATTACTGGCCAGTTACTGTTTAACTTTTAATTTGAAAAATAAACTAGAAGTTTTTTTCATCTGTTTTATGCATACTGTGAACTGCACTCTTGGGAGAAAAACACTGGATTTGTATTACTTCATCTCTTCGATTTACAAAGTTTTGCATAAAGCCTACAGATCGGCTATAGTATTAACATATACATGCTAGAGTAATGAACAGTACACACAATGGAAATTTGCTATTATTCATTGAACAGGGTGGGAAAAACACTATTCTCTAAATAATTACATCTCATGTTTCTTACTCTTGATGCAATGATCTAAAGTGTTTATGTATGTATGTGTGTGTGTGTGTGTGTGTGTGTGTGTATATATATATATATATATATACACACACACAAAATATTAATTTAATACAGATAAACAATTTTAAAAATCATTTGTATAATTCAGATTTATCCATTTAAGCATGAGCAGTCACAATGAAAATGAAGTACAAAATAAAAAGCAAACAACTCAACTCCCTTATTGGCAATTTAACAACTGAACATGTAATGTCGAAATACTCAACATAAATAGACAGATTTAAATTTTCACCAATATACTGAATTCAGATGTCACTCTCTTTTTACCTGTACAAGTAGATGAAAAAGCAGAGTAGGTGGAAACCCAGTTTGATCATGGCCTCCTTCATATGGGACTTCAGCTGCCCCCTATTGTGAATCTCCGTAGGGTCAAACACTCCCATGTTACCCATAGGAACCTTCACATATCTTGTGAAAAATACACAGTTTAGCAATACTGTATATTACTAAGACATATTCTGAAGTTTGTAAAAGCTGTGGCTCAATCATATCATTAATGGGTAAAATACAAATCTGTGTCATGGCTCACCTGTAAATGTTCCACGATGCCACAGGCAGATTGAGGAGGAAAATGAACCAGTGCATGGAGACTAGCATCAACACTGTGGCCAGAGCCTGGCCAATTAGTTCGGGTATGACCCACTATTCACAGAAAGACATTAATAGTTTCATTATCAGGGATCATAAAGGCAGTTACTTTATAACAATACAGTTAAATAGCCTTGTTAAGGTTCAGCCTCAACGTATAGGAAATGGCAACATCTGAACATCTACAAAGAAGCAACCTTTGGAGAAGTAACCCATTCCTCTTGCTCAGTGTTTCTCAACCTCAATCACTCTGTGCTTTGCACATTTCTGTGTTCTCCCTGCTTTAACAGTTTGAAATGATCTGAGGAGTTGGATAATACAACTGAAAATGGAAAAGTCAATTGGGTAGTACATTTGGAAATGGAGGACAACTGGAAAGCACAGCATTTCCCAATCTTCCTTTAAGTTCCCTTCTCTATTTCCCAATTGTCTTTTCCATTAAAAGCTGCACTTCCAAATGTGCTGTAGCACTCTTATATCCTTCATAATGGATCAGATGCAGTAAAAACACAAAAAAGTCCAATGCATGGGTCACTAGGACCGGAACTGAAACCACTGATCTAAAGGAAACTTTACTGTGACAAAATTAAGTCTTCAAGAGCAAATACAGAGTTCACTTCAGTCACGACTAGTTCTCAGAATGTCTCCCAAGAAAAGCTACTTCACACGTGTACTTACTTTGTTTAACTTTGAACAGCAGGCCCGGGCATTAATATAATCACATTCAAGATCCGACAGTGTGATAATCTGTACGTAGAGTTAATACACATAACTTTAAAGTGAAGCAGCAAAAAACAACAGAAGACATCGCAAATAACGCCAATACAAAAGTCACAACATAGTTCAACATGACCAACCAAACAGGTTCCCCAGCGCTGCTTTAACAGGTCGGGCCAGGTGAATGACTTCAGTACCTCAGCCGATAGTCCAGGTTAAAAAACGAAAACAGAGCAGCTTTCCACACTGAACATTTCTCCCGGATTGTGGAGTAACGTCCACGCACACCCTTGTTTCCTCAATGCTCGAACACACAAATACACATACTTCAGATCAAACAGGTAAAACTGCTCTATTGAATATTAAACCATTACGATTCAGGTCGAACACGAAAGAACATTCAGTCCCTTCAGCTAAAGCTGCATTAATATCAGCTAGTTAACTAGCTAGCTCACCTACAGGGTCGGTTTCCCTGGTCTTGATCTAAGACTAGTTGTGGGTTTGCTTGGAATAAGCTCAATAAACAGTGGCAATGTTTGTATAGCATTCAAAGTATATTTAGTCCAGATTTAAGCTTATTGTGGGTACGGAAACCGACCCACCGTGTGAAATAGCTCTGTTTGTGTTCTGCGGCTCTGTGTCTGTCTGCCCGCCTGTTCGAGCGAAGTGAGCTAACGGTGATCAGCTAACTGCACTCCGGCCCGCTACAGTCACAGAGTCAAGACAAAGTCAACACAGAAGCGCTGCGGAGACTGGAAAGAGCTTATCTGAGTCTAACTGTACATTCTCTTCATATGAGAGGAAAGGATACAAAGTACACCGACAGGAAAATTAACGCGCAGCAGTCGACCAAAGACAGAATAAACACTGCGGCTTCCATCTTCAGCTTCCTACTCCATCACTAGTTCCGGCTGAGAGAACGCTACTTCCGGCACTCGTCTTCTTCTACAGCCACTGAGATAAAACACACAGCGTGCTCACAGCCTACTGCCACACAGAGATACCCAGAGAGATACACAGCCTACTGCCACACAGAGATAAACACAGAGATACACAGAGAGATACACGGCCTACTGCCACACAGAGATAAACACAGAGATACAGAGAGATACACAGCCTACTGCCACACAGAGATACACAGAGAGATACACAGCCTACTGCCACACAGAGATAAACACATAGATACACAGAGAGATAAACACAGAGATACAGAGAGATACACAGCCTACTGCCACACAGAGATACACAGAGAGATACACAGCCTACTGCCACACAGAGATAAACACAGAGATACAGAGAGATACACAGCCTACTGTCACACAGAGATAAACACATAGATACACAGAGAGATACACAGCCTACTGCCACACAGAGATAAACACATAGATACACAGAGAGATACACAGCCTACTGCCACACAGAGATACACAGAGAGATACACAGCCTACTACCACACAGAGATAAACACAGAGATACACACCCTACTGCCACATACAGAGATATGCACATATTCACAAAGCCTTTTAGCCACACAGAGATATGCACATTATATATATACATATATAATGTATATTAGTAGTGCTAGTGTAAAAGAAGATGCGGAAAACATTGTGCATATGGGCAAATGCTCTTTTATTGAAGAGGCACTTCAACAGCGAGTCTTTACAAAGACCAGAAATACGCAGCACAATCCCGACATGAAACATAGGGAGGGAGAAACGTGGGAGGACACAACATACAAGGAGGGTTGACACTTCTAACTACTAGTTACACCTAATAAGTCCACCATCCTCAGACACAATTACTGTAATAAACATTTAACCCTTGTGTGGTGTTCATGCTTTTGTTGCTTTGGTCTGGTGGACCCACCGCATTATTGTTTTTTTTTTTTTTAAATCAATACAGCCATAACAATTTATGTAAAAATACTAGTTTTTTAAACCATGTTTAAAATATCACAAGTTGCCAGGGTAGGGTTCTCCTTTAGCAGCTGTAGCCAGTCAGCAGCCTGTCCATGTTGTCCACCCTCATCCTCACACACACGCATAAACACACAGACACACACAGACACACACACACACACTAACAGCAGGCCATGTAGGAGGAGAACAGAGTGAAGGGACACAGCACCTCCACACTTTTATTCCCAGCGGGTTCACCCCAGCACCACATGTATAATATTAATGTGTAGAGGTGAACAGTGTGAAGTCACTGAAAATGTGTTATTTTATATGTCCTTAACAGAAAATGAGCAAAAGGCCAAGGAATCTGGGGTTGAAATAATAAATCACATATTTTTTTTCCTTTGGTAAACATTGAAAATTGGTCCCACAGACCAAAACACCACACAAGAGTTAAAAATAAAAAATGTTCTTTTTAACTTGGGAGCATGGTGCATACCATGAAACACTTTGCATGGCCACACCCCCTAAGGTCCTTATGGTAGTGCAGCCCGTGGTAGACAACAATATACCACAAGTTCACAATATACACAAGTTCACATAGCCTAATGCCACACAGAGATATATAGAGATATACAGCCTACTGCCTCACATGTATACACAGAGATACACAACCTGCTGCCACACACAGAAACACCCAGCCTACTGTCGCACATAAATAGACACAGACACATACAGCCTACTGCTACACAGGAACACACATAGACATAAACAGCGAAGATATGCACAGAGATACACACAGAAATAAACACAGACATACATACAGCCTAGTACCACACAGAGAAATACAACCCTGTCTTAAAAAAGTTGGGCCACTGTGCAAAATGTAAACAGAATGTAATCATCTGTAAATAATTTAAACTCTTTATTTAATTGAAAATAGTACATACATCAATATAACATATATCAATATATTGTTTTAACAATATATCTCTATTTTGATTTTGATACCAGCAACACATGTCAAAAAAGGTGGGACAGGAGCATGTTTACCACTGTGCTGTGTCACTTATTTTTTTAACATCACTCTGTAAGCATTTAGCAAATGAGGAGACCAGTTGCTGTAGTTTTGAAAGTGAAGTGTTTTTCCAGTCTTGCTTGATATGGGATGTCAGCTGTTCAACAGTCCAGGGTCTCTTTTGTTGTATTTTTTGTTTCATAATCTGCCAAATGATTTCACACTGTGCACTGATAACAAGTCAGATGGTCCCTCTTCTCTTTAGGCCGGAGGACGTGGCGTCCAAATTTTGATTTGTTGGACCACAGGACACTTTTCCACTTCACCTTAGTCCAAAGTAAAAAGGTTCTGTTTATATGTGCTTTCTTCTTTGCATGGTAGAGTTTTAATTTGCATTTGTGGATGCAGCAACAAACTGTGTTCACAGACAATGGTTTTTCAGACGTGTTCCTGATTCACATGATTCATAGCTAACTGCCACACAGAGATACACTTAGAGATACACTCAGAGATACACTCAGAGATACACAGATATACACAGCCTACTGCCACACAGCAATACACACAGAGATACACCCTGAAAAACAACCTACTGCCACACAGATACACACAGGAACAAAAACAAGCATAACCCATAACCCTTTAATCATATTGATCTCTAGAAAAACATAGAAAAATAGCTTTTGCTGTCAGTTTAAATTTACTCAAAACATAAATTTAAACTTTTAGTGAAGCAAAATTATTCAAAGCTATAAAATTTAGTTCTATAAAAACCTAATTTTGTTGAAATCCACAACGTTTTGATCCACTGAGATAAAAAGGGGCCATTCATCAACATGGAGAACATCAGATTGACATTAAATGAAGGTTGATCTTCACAAATCAGGCAATGGCCAAAAATGGAGCTGTGACTTTTTTCTTTCATAGATCTTGATCATCTTGTTGTCTTCATAATCTTGATATCATTGACTCAATCATATACCAGGAAATTGTCAACCAAAATTTGTCTGGGACATGATTAGATCCTCCAGTAGGACAATAACAGCATACCTCCAAATTCACACAAAAATTGATGAACTGATGGCAGAACCAAGCTTTTGAGCTGGCCATCCCAGTCTCTTAACCTAAACCCTCCAGAGTACCTAGGGGCTGAGCTGAGGAGGAGATACTAAAAGTATGGACGAAACACTTTGAAAGATCTTAAGAGATTTTCCCAGAGCCCTATGTGTTCTCTCACCTCATTTAGCACTGACTCAGAACGCATTTCAGCAGATTCCAGATCAAACTGATAAACAAAGCTAACTTTTAAGTATGCCAATTAATCTAGAGAATATGGACCACTACAGAGCTGGTGTTATTTGGGTGGTGGATCATTCTCATCACTGCAGTACTACTGCACACAGCAAATGGTCACACTTAGATTTTGATTTTGTTCTGGGATCAGCTAAAAGGCCCTGACTTAATTGTCTAAGCATCTTCATGTTATTATAGTGAAGCCACAGTTCAGAAATGTACTCAGGGGCCTCATTATGTAATGCTTGACGAGAGAGCACCAGACTTAGAATAATGTGCTCACTACACTTTGTCTTAGTCAGAATACAGGCTGCTACATTCTTTACAAGCTGAAAGCGAGCCTTGTCTCTCTCACTCGGACAATGAATTGCATTAGTCTAAGCATAATGACAAAAAAGCATTAATCATCTCAGTGTTCTAAAAAACAGGCAACATCTGACCTTGCTTTTTTAGATTAAAGAACCAGGACTGAAAACGTTTATTTATATGCTATGGAGAATTCAAAGGGGTCAAATAACCCTGAGATTCCTAGAAAAAGGTAGCATTTGACCCCCGAAGACCAAGCGCTTGCAATTATCAGAACCGACAACCAACCAACTTGAGAAAGTTGTAAAACATCCTCAACTGCTGTTAGACACTAATTCACAAAAAAAAAAAACATTTGTTGTGCTGTACAGCTGTGTGTCATCATCATAAAAATGGCAAGCGATCTTACAGTGTTGCATTAAGCAGTGCAGAAGAAGCATATAGAGAAAATAAAATCAGACCCAGGATGAACCCCTGAGGCACCTCACAGAAGAGGACATCATGTCACCAGTGGACACTGCTAATTTCCTTTGTTTGTTAAAAAAGAAATAAACCAAGCAGTCTACGATATACCAGAGCATCACAATGTCATGGTCAGTGTGAAAGGAGACACTAAAGGTCTAACAAAACCAAGATGCCAGCAGTGCTTCAAGAGTTACTTGATGCTTTTAATGCTTTAAAAGATGCACCATATATTTACAGTGTATATAATTACAGGGCCAAAATAAACAGTAGGTTACAGTCACTGTACAGAGAATGTATGAATTAGGGGGAGGGGCTAGTGCTCGTGTGTGTGTGTGTGTGTGTGCGATGCTGTTGTCATGAAGAATTCCTGCGCTGTGTCTGAATGGGGCACTCGAAGCGTGGGTGTCCCTCCCTCGCCCAGCTATGGCGGCGCCTGCAGCGCAGCCTGATGAGGAGCTTCAGGCTTTCAGCGCGCTCGAGCCTCTTTCAGCTCAGCAAAAGCGACTGGCTCCGGTTAACGAGAACGCGGAGGAGGTGGCGGAGCTGCTGGAGAGCTGTCTGGACTCTGATAACGGCCTCTCTGGCGAGACCATCGCTGTCAGATCCGTGGAGGAGCTGCTCGTTGGTTTCGACGAAAAGTTAAAGGCGTGCTTTCGACATCTCGGCACTAAAAGCGAAGTAATAGCGCCGGTAAAACCGATATCCGAGGATACCGTCTTAAAACATGACGAGTAAGTGGAAGAGTGAGGATGTTAGTGTGCGGAGCTGGAGGGGTTTATGTGTGTCGCCCGAGGCGTTACATGATACCGGAGGATCAGGAGATACTGTTCCAGCAGGCTGATCATTTCGCTGCTTCTGCACGAAGCACAACAGCAGGCTGCGAATTTGGCTCCGTTTTCGTCTGTTTCGCATGATTCACGATGGGTAGCCTATTAATTACAGCGACACAGTGACTGAATTACGCGTCCTGATATCTGTTTGCTTTGCCAGTGCATGAATGTTCTCAATGCATTGTCCATTACTTTACACTAGGCTTGAAGCATCGCTGTATTGTTTGTCTGGTGTTATTGTGTAGCGAAAATGAAGGGCAGCATTATTGCATCTCATGTAGCCAAGCTCCCTGTCTAAGTGCCATCACGTGACTTCAGTCCACTCTGGAGAATGGAGTTAGATTTTCCATACATGGGAACTGACGTGATTTGATTGGTGGCTAATAATATTGGAATAAATCAAATAAAGTTTTACAGTCTTTACAGTCTTTAATAGCTCGAGAATTGGTCGAGAATTGGCTAATGACAAGAAAAAAATACTATATATATATATATATATATATATATATATATATATATATATATATATATATATTTCTATTGGTTTATATATAAACCAATAGAAACATGCTTAAATTACATAATATTGCATAATAAAAAAATACATAATAAAATCTCATAACGTTAACTATACATCAACTTTACATCTGCTTTAAGTAACTCTGATGTACTATATTCATTTTGTCTTTGCCAGGTTGCATTTTGTGCATGTGGAATGATATATGAGAAGTTTGTTAAGGGGCATCCTTTCGCTGTTCTAGGATCTGGAACGCACTTACAGATAATTATGGAAACGTAATGCCAGTGGACTGGAATCAGTCTCGGGCTCGCTCACTTCACCTTCCCACCCTGAACATTGAGGATGGGCTGGTGAGTCAAACATCCTTGTCTCTGTCCCTGAGTCAGTTAGGTTTGTGATCAGATTCTGATTGGATTTCTGATTGTTTCTGTCTTTTGCTGCTGTAGAGGGTGAATAATGTTAATTTGGATGTATCTGATGATGAGGAGGTGAGGGAGCAGATGGACATGCATTCCATCATTGTGTCCTGCATCAACGAGGAGCCCCTCTTCACTGCAGAGCAGGTGCTATTGCACAGCTTCACTTAAACACAGCAGCAGGCAGCATTTCATAGAGTTTGTAGAAGCCCTGGAATTTAGGCTTCACTTAGGAGTAGAGGTGTAAAAATCCTTCGATCTGAAAGTGGTGATTGAACTGTACTGATTTTGGAACTTTAGAGTTCACTATCATTGACTAATATTAAATAAAGCATGAACTAAATTTTTGGCCAAAAACTGTGTAAAATAGTTACTCTGGTTACATTTGCATCTGCAGTCAATTCAAGTTGTGGTGAAATTTAAGATTTTATGGTGCAGTCTTTTCCTAAAGAATCAAGATCAAACATTTACATTTGCTGCTTATGAGTAATATTGCATACTGTATATATATATATATATATATATATGTGTGTGTGTGTGTGTACATAATGATGCTTATTGGATCATTCATTGTCTTGAAGGTGATTGAAGAGATAGAGGAGATGATGCAGGACTCTCCAGACATGGAAACAGAACACAACTGTCATTCTGAACTGATAAAAAGATCCAGCAGCACCAGCCACAGCTATGAGGAGAGTAAGTGTCTGCCTATACTCAGACTCTGCCACTGTGTGTTTAAGTTTGTTCTGAGATGTTGTTGTTGTTGTTGTTTTATGTTGACTGTGTGTGCCTACAGGAGTGAGGAACCTAAGTGTTGCAGAGCTGAATGAGTTACTGGAGGAGGTAGAGACTGCTGTCCGCCGCTACTCAGAGGAACTGGTCCAGCAACTAGCTCTAAGAGATGAGCTGGGCTTCGAGAAGGAGGTGAAGAACAGTTTCATTTCTGTGCTGATAGACGTGCAGAACCGGCAGAAAGAACATAGAGAACTCTTGAAAAAGAAGAGGAAACTAAAGAATGGAGCCGGATCCCAGCACGGTAGAACGGACAGATTACCAACTAGTGTGAGTAACACCAAGACTTCCCATCTGCCTCACGAAAGCTGGAATGAATGCACAATGTATTGCTTGCTAATTGTTAGAGCAGTATTAGCATTCATAAGAATGCTTCATGATAATATCAGAATCATATGGATAACGGTAGATGTTTGCTTAAAAAAAATTAGCATCAGATGCACTCAAAAAAAATTCCCTGAACTTAACTGAATTATGAACTTGAACTTAACTTTTACATTGGTCTAACTTATCTGGTCCAGCTTATGAACTTGAACTTAACTTTACCTTTTACATTGGTCCAACTTAGCTGGTTTAAAGTGGTCACTGTAGTGCCCAGTCAGTTTAGAACCTCACTCAACAAAGGAGAATATAGTAGTACACTCTTATAGTCAATGATGACGAGGCTTGGCGATTAACCAAAATATAGAACGTAAGCATACACTCAACGGAAGACAACTTAGGAGGAAAGACAGCATGGAGATGGTAAATAAAGCAAGAGGAAAGACATGCCTTATATGCAAATAGATGGAGTCAGGAGCCAAGACAGTCATAATAGTTGAGCAATGTGGGATGTGTCCTAGTGTAAGTACAACAGACTTAATTTATTTGGGTATTTGTGTCTTATGATACCAAGTGGAAATCACATGAGACTTGGACGAACACAATTTAATGTCTTTAAGTTGACTTGATTGACTTTTTTAATGTTTGTGATATTTTTGTTCTTTAGTTACTTTATTCATTTTACTTTATTACTTTATTCAGTACTTATTCTATTACTTTAAGTTCATTTTAAAAATGGGTCAGTTTAATTAATATCAACACAGTATGGTATTTTGTCCATGTCATACAGACTTAATTTAACCTACTTATCGCACATTACAGAGTGACCCTTCTTCCTTCACCACTTCCTTTATTCTGGGTGATAAGAACCTTTATTCTCCTCTCCTCTCACTTTGCTTTGCTTTTCTCTACCTGTTCTGGTCTTTTCAGCGCTTCAGCATGGAGAGCATCTCTACTGCCATTCAAAATGGTTTCCGCCAAACCTTTGGGCATGGTGGCGGGGAGAAACAGGTGGCTATGTCTATTCCTTCCTTCTATGTCCTTTACTCTTCAAAATGAAGGTGCCAAATAGGGTTCATATAGGGTTCACTGGGGCATTGTCACAGAAGGACAGCTTTTGGTTAGAACTTCACTGCTTCTCACTGTAAGAAGCTATCTCCATCCCTTCTTCAGCCACATCAAAACACTGTATTTTTTCTTAGCCTTTTCACCAGTGTCTTTTCCTCTTTCTCACAGTATCTCACTACAGTCATTCCATATGAGAAGAAAGGAGGCCCTCCGTCAGTTGAGGATCTACAAGTTCTCACAAAAAGTGAGTGATGCCTTTGCACTTCTGTGCAGCAGTTAGTGAAGCTTTGTTTCCTCCTCATTTTATTCTTCTTCCCATAGTTCTTCAGGCCATGAGGGATGACAGTGATAAAGTACCCAGTCTTCTCACAGACTACATCCTTAAAGGTAATCATTAATTAAAGCGTCACATCAGAATTTCTATAAGAACAAATGTTATATTGTATTGAATAGTTTCTGCATTGCTGGTAAATAACAATGAAAAGCATCTTTGGTTGTCTTTGCTTTAGTCCTCTTGTGTTACACAGAGATGTTTACAAACATGTCAACCCATCTCTTTTGCTATCATTTCTTTTTTATTTTCTCCGTTCTCTTTCCTCTCTTGTCTGGATTGTCACTGGTAGCTGTTGTCTGATGTGATGGATCGAGGTTTGTAAGAGACTGTGAGGAATTCTGGTGCAGAATTCCATAAGCAAAGCGCCCTCTGCTGGCACTTCACACTAGTGCATCCATGTTTGCTGGTGTTGTGTCTGACGCCGCCTTAGCAACCGATGCAGGGTCACAGCCACACTCTCATCTTCTGTTTAACCTGGTAACAGTCATGGACTGCTACTCTAGTGCCCCACTGTCCCTGTATTCACCTGTAGCACCTTCCTTTTTTATGGTACCCTCACCTTTTATGCACAGATGTCATCAGTGCTGTCTGTGTCTGGATGGGCTCACGAATGATACTGCACGTTTGCACCACAATAGCTTTCCCTGGTAGTTAACTTTGAAGTAATAGTTTACCGAAGAATCAAATTTAGACTGTTTTCCCCTTAACATAATCAAAGTCCATCAGTCAGGACATGTTTGATATCTGAAGTTTACTTATTTAGTTTTGTACTGGAGCTACAAAGCTAATGCAGCTAAAATGTAAAAGAAGTCTACGTCACATAGAAATCTTAAATTATATTAGCCTTACAGCTCCACTACAACTGCACAAGCAAATGTCAGAGAGCACACATATCTTGGCTGATTAACTATGTTCAGTGTAAGGGGAAACAGTATAAATCTGATTTTTGGTGAACCTCTCTTTTAACGGTCTGTCCACATTCTCCTGTCCGCTCTCTGGTCTCCCTATTTTATTTACCTGCCCAAATAATTTGACATTTGACTAATAAATTAACACAGTAGTATAATCACTAATGTAATAATCTGTGCTCTCTTTTGCAGTACTTTGCCCCACCTAAAATGATGGGGAGACATTTGCACTTGTGGTACTGTTTTGAAAAAGGACTAATGAAGGATTTCCAGGTGGACGTTCACACTGTGGATTCAACTTTGATCACCAATCTACTTGTAATGCAGGCTGGAAGGTCTCTTAACTGAGTATCTGAATTTTTTTATTTAACAGTCTTTATTTATTTTTTTTCTTACATGTTCACTGTACATGACATGCAATACTATTTTACTGCTATGTGATGTTATTGTACATCAAAGGATGTAGAATTCAGCTGAAGCAAAAAATGTGAAGTGTAAAAAAAAAAAGTAAGTGCTCTTAAAACCACCTCTGGAATGAAGGCATGTCTTACTGTCTTGGTATGCAGCATCATTTCTACAGTCTGTTTGATGTTTGCGTTTTTGTAAAGTTTACGTCTTTCTGTTTTACTGTAAATTTGCTCCAAGGGGTGTTGTAGTTCCAATCCTAAGGGTTGACTAGTTTTCCTGTATCTTGAGACCACACTCTGCCTGTGTTACTGAGTGTTCCTGTTCTCAAATGACACATATCCTTGGAGAGAAATTTGTTATTAATTCATTAATTTACTCTTTTAACTTTTCAAAAATATTGTCAGTTTAGACAGTAATGTCTAAATTTCAAAATGACGTGATAGGAAAAATTTATTTTGGAATAACAAAGATAACCCCCTCAAGTATCTCTGAGTGTATGTCTGAATTTTGCTTGCGTGTCTGTTAAAATAAATTTCTGTTGATTTCAGCTGTTTGTATCACAGCTTGTTTATTGTTTCCTTGGGCACCTGTCTATTAATTTATGATGATTTTGTGATACTGCACAATTACATCTGGAAACTCTGAGTTTAAGTTCTTTAAGAGAGTGCCAATTCTAAAAAAATAAAAAAAAAAAAATGACAAAAAACAAATCAAGAAATCATTGCAGATTCCGATTTGTAGAACCTCCAGTTATAGTGGTTGTAGCTCTACTTAATGTATGCAATAATACAGTTCAAATTCTGCCCTTGATATAGTGCTGCATACCTCGTAGAATTGTGGCAGTTGTACACAAAAGCTTAGAAATCTTGAAATCTTGAAAGTGACGCCTGCAGGTTAAGGGACATTTTGCTAGTAAGAACACCAGGACAAAGACAAGAGTAGTAAGGCTTTACTTTTTAAAGGAATGTACCTTTTACTGCAAAACTAATTGATTGGCCAAGACATGTTTAGTCTAAAGTTTACTTTTTTTGGTTTTGCACCAGAGCTGTGAGACTAAAAGTCCATTTACATGGCAGTGATTTCTATTACAGTAGCCTTTTAGCTCCAGTGCAAAGCTAAAGAAGCAAACTTCAGACATTAAACATGTCTCAGCCAATTGATTCATTGCAAGGGTGTAAATCTGACTGTGCAGTGAGCCATTCCTTTAACCTGGAGAGCCATATTGGTCCCATTAAGGTTGATGCACAGATTCTTGTTTTTTTTAATTTTTGTTTTTCTCCAGTAACCTTTGTTACATTCCTTGGTGAGGCAAAAAGAACTGCAGCAACATACAAACATCATTATTTATTGGACATACAGGTGCTTTTGATTTCTGGTCAGATGGCTTAATTGAAAGCTCAGATTCTGTTATTATAGACAGGCAAAACTTACCGTTTCTTCTGAGGACACTGAACAAAGATGAATAAAACATTGCAGGGAGAACCATCATCTCTTCATCCAGTACAATGACAAGTATAATGACAGCCTGTCCTCTTTTCTGGTCCATTTTCACCAGTCCATCATGCAGTCACAGCCTTATCGGCAGGCAATATCCACAATGCCAGCAAGCATGCTCATCTTTTAATTTACTCAGCAAAAAAAATATATATATGTATAGACGTTTATACAACGGCAACTCTACATAATGTCACACAAACCTACATTCAAACCATGAAGCGATGCTGTACCAAGGGCAGCATATGTTTTGACTCAACAGGTCATCAGACTGCATGTCTGTTTCGGGTATCGCTCCAGTCCGGAGAGTTCAGTATCATTCCAGGCCCTCTGTGTGGCTATAGGAGGAGCTATAGGTGCCCTTTGAGGGCAGAGGGGGAGACGGAGGGAAGGGTTTCTTTTTAGCCACGCTGTTCATGGTCACTCAACTGAGCAGTGCCTCCTCTCTCTTGTGCATATACAGTATACATTTAAATTATACAGGTAGCAGCAGCACCCCCGAAAGCGAGGGGTTAAGGGGCTGAGGGGTGAGAGGAATAAGGGTGTGTAATTGGAGGGGATCACTGTGCAGCTCCTCTCTATACTGCTCCAGGGTCTCTGCTCTGGGCCCGTCTGCGGCGCTGTTCCGTTTTGTTCCTGTTTTCAGACTCCTCTCGGTCACCCATCTCCCTCTCCCGCTCTCGCTCCCTCTTCCTCTCTCGACGGCCCTCGCCGCTCGCCTTGTCTTTCCGATTGTTCCGATTCTTCCGCTCTCCTTTATGTGAGCCTCTGTCTTTTCCTGGCAAAATAGGCATAATCAACATTAGCTGTACTGTGTAACAGACATGTCACCATATCGGAGACTAAAGCAAGCATAGTCAACATCAGCTATAGTCTATATAAAAGACATCCCACAGTCTTGAACAAGCAGAATCAACATTAGCAATAGTCTGTAATGGATAAATCAGAGACTAGAGCAAGTAGAATCAAGATTAGCTACAGCCTATATAAAACATATGCCACAAACAAGCAGAATCAACTTTAGCTGTGGTGCATAGCAGTAAGTGTATTTTGTCAGTATAAAATAGTGAGAAAACTATGTACCATTACAGCAAAGATAAACATTAATACAATAATAAAATGTAATACAAATTTAGTTGTTGGCTGAAAGAATTTTGTTAGAACACAAATTTCATGACTTCTCTGTCCTTCACTCCATTCTACAGCACACATTTGTTTAAATTCCTCACCAGCACACCTAATTTAACCAACTAGGTATTGCATGCTAACCATACTGCTTTAGAAATAGTTAACACACACACAATTACAATGTATTGATTATTTGTATTTATTTTAATGTTAAGTATTTTTTTTCCAACAAATAAATATAAATTGTTGCTGCCAGATAAACAGCATTAACATAGCATTTTCTCATACATCAAAGACTTTTGCATAGTTCTGTATATGATATATCATAGCAACACCAACATTAGCTCTAAGTACCTGAAAAATAGAATTACAAAGCGGTTTATCTGTAGAATAAGCGTTTATTTGCTCAGAAAGACACTAACATTACACTAAACACAAGTAAAAATAGTAGAATAAGTGGTTTTATGTTTGTGAGTATGTTTGTTTAACCATTTCCAAACAAATCCTCATGGAAGAAGACTAGTATTGTAGTTTTAATCCCATACCTGCTTTGCCTAATCAATACTTCATTATGTTAAATAAAGTATGCTGGTTTTGGAATTTAATCAGTCTATGCGATGGCTGGCATCTTCCAGGAAACATCTAGAACCAAATTCTTCAAATTACCTTGCAAGATATTGCCTTTTTGAAATATATAGTTATATAGCTTTTATACAGGTGAAACACACTTTCTGCTGCCATTTTGAACTTTTGCACAGTATGTACTACAGCTAAAGTTGATTATGCTTGTTTAAGACTCTGGGCTTTTATCTTTTATCTCTACAAGCAAAAACACACTTACTGCCAAGATAAATGGTTTTGGCTTAGGTGCCTAAGACTTTTGCACAGTCCTGTGCACAGTAACAGCTGTAAATTATTCAGTAACTACTACACTACTGAGCAACTTTTTTGTAAGTTATGTAGCTATGTGAGTGAGGAACTGAACTGGACTCCTTTGAAAGGTTTGAAAGGTTAAACAAACGTAATCAACATTACCTGTGGTCTATATATAACATATACCATGCTTAAACAAGCACATTCAGCGTTTGCTGCACAATCTTATTCATCAGCTTGAATTCAGTTAGGTCATTAGAATTTCTTTTGATCCACATAATTTAGATAACTGCTCATTTTTGGAGATGACTGGCACTGAAATATTTTCCACAGCCGACTTTTCCCGTAAATGGGTTTTTAAAATGCAAGTTTAACACCTGTTCCTTCACATATTCAGGTAGAGCTACTTGGTCTTTCCATGTCCCATGAGAGCCTATGCATGTCTGTGTCTACTCGTAAAGAACAGCACGCACCAATTAAAAGTAGTATAAAACAGCTAAATGGGTTTTATTCCAAAAGTAACATGTACACAGGCCATAGCTCACACAACATCTATTAAATTTGTATATATTTGTAAAGCTAATGCTTACAGTACCTATTCATACTGATAATACATCCTGAAACACGTATGAACATGTGTAAATATTTAATAGCATGTAGGATGGGGAAATATGATTTAACGCGAGATATCTGAATGCATGATTCTAAGAGCAGCTGTTCTTAGAGCAACCACAAGATGTCCATCTTGCTCAACAACCTCTTTGCATGCGTTTCCACTTTTTTTGTTGTTTTTTATCAGTGCACTTGGCAAATAATGCTTCTCTTCTCTGACTGTATTTGTCAAAAATAGAGAACCCTAAAATAAAATTCTGTTGATGTTGCTTTATCTGTTGCTCAACACTCACAGCAAGCCAATTTCAATTCTTGTCGGAGGCTTATCAGTGGGTGAGTGGAGCAAGGCCGAGCTCTGTTGTGTGGAGGATTGGAAAAGTGCTGAGGTGGACACACAGCCCCCCTCTCCTCCCCTCTCGGCCCTCCGCTCGGACTCTATTAATCAGCGCTGTTCTCTCTGGTGGTGGGGGGATCAGGGCAGGCTGCCCGCTGCAGCCCACACTGACCCACACATTCCTGGGGTTCAGCCAGAGCGATACGGGGCCCTACCAGCCACGGCTGTTTAGAATAGGCGCAGAAATAATGAAGGGTGCGAGTGTCGGCAGTGAGGAGACACAACTGCTTGTCTATCTCTCTTTCTCTCTCTCTTTCTCTCTCTCTCGTTGAAGGCCAGTTTAGGACGACCGTGCAAACTCCACAACACCTCCCACAGACAAGAATCAGTTGTGATTGTTAGGAGAGAGCTGTCTCATTTCAGTCGTGCAAGAGATCAACCCTTCGCTCAAACACACACACAGTTTCGTTCCATCCCCACCACTCACCCACACAGCCATCCCCTCCCTCTCTCCATCCCGGCTCTTTATACACAGGAAGTCCCCTCTGCACACATTGTTTTCTTTGTCATAACGATTTAGAGATCAGTGGATTAGTCATAATCTCTGCGTTTCCTACAAACTGAGCCATAACACCATCAGGGTGCTTTTCAGATCATTATGGATATGTTTACTGGGGCCCTTTCAAAGCTGGAAGGTCGTCTACTATTTCTATAAACTGTCAAGCGATGCATTGGTTCCAAATGGAACATCATTACACAGGCACTTTTCTTCAGAGATGTAACACATTCTTCAGCATCTGGTCACCACTGCTGGAGCAGATGGAAGGCCTCGTTAGATGATTTGTATGAGGGACCAAGGAGGAGTCCATTTAAAGTTGGACCCGTACATGACTTCACAGGTGCTCTATCTAACATAAAAAACAGCCATGTGAATATGGATCTATTCATCATGCACTCATCATCAACAAACGAGCTTCAAAAACATGTTGCAAACCTAAAAGAGAGTTCACTGCTAGAGCTTGGCTTGGAATCGCTTCTGTTTCTCGGCTCAGTGTCAATATTTCAACACAGGAGAAGGAGGCATCATCTGGCATTGATTATTCATAATTTTCAAAAAGGGTGATTGAGAAGAGAAGCGAAGGGAAAGAGAAAACGGCATGCAAGACCAGACATAATTATCTCAGAGCAAGGCTACAAGAAAAGACAAAACAGAGTCGTCCAACATCATCTCGGGGTCCCTATAGCATTGTAGCCCAGGCTGCTATTTATGCTATGCTAGAGTGGTGATCATCTGCACTGTGTTCCTGGAGATGGCTAAAAACTAGATATGTGGCTCAGAGCGTCACAATTACATTAATGAGGAGGTGGCAGGGGCTGGGTGTGCTTTCGTCCGGGGGGCTTTTGGCAGGAGCCAGGCAGGGATTAAAGGCTCTGGTGTGTCCCGCAGGAGGAATGCCCCAGGCTTTGAAGCTTCGCTGCGATTGTCCTAGCGGGCACAAATAAAGGGGCAGGGGTTCCGAGGATAAATTAACCGACAAACTCAGTGGTGTTGGTAGACTGGGCCTTGGACAGTATGCAGGGCATGCAAAGTCTGAATTGGGCACAGATCATGTAAACACACTACCATTAAAAAAAAATTGCTCGGAGGCACATATGTCATGCACTGATGTTTAGCAACTGGTTTTCATTTTTCTGAAGAGATCTACTTTCTAGCCACAGAAAATGATTGGATGCTCCAACAAGAAACAAGACAATGCAAGATCACACTGCTCCTTAAGTGAGGGAGCACTCTGAGGAGCAGGAAATTCAAGTGATGACATGGCCAGCACAATAATCAGATTTAAATCCCAGCGAGAACTTGAGGGACTATGCTGGGAAACATGGAGAAAAAAAAACAATGATTACGATGAGCCTGTAGACAGCAATGAAGAATAACTGGAAAGAACTTTTAGATCAAAGCTGCCCAAATTTGGCTCATGAGGACGTTTGATTTGGCCCACAAGAAAGTTATCCTAACCCCATCCCCTCACCCAATGAGAGAACAAACATCTTTTTATACTTATTAAATTCCAGTATTCCATTCAAAATATGTTTTTGAAGCATATAAGAAACAAAATATAGAGTAACAATACAAACTAAATGTTTAAAACTCTAAAACTAACTACTTTCTTTATTTGTGTGTTGCTTTGTGTTTTTGGCCCTTGGCCCCAAAAAAAAACAAAAACAATATTATACTTTGCCCCCCAAGACAAAAAGTTTGGGTACCACTGCTTTAGGTAATTTAAAAAGTTTTTTTGAAAGTAAGATAAAACAGAATAACACTTTACTGTAGGGCAGTGTTCATAAGGTTAACATAAGCCTTTCATTACGACTGACATAGACCCACATATACATTTATAAACATTTATTCCAATAGGTGTAACAGTCATCATAACAGTTGCATTTACTGACTTTGATGTCAAGTTGACATGACATCTGTGTCAGGTCATATTGTTTTTGTGTGATATTCGGTAGTGAGCACTGTCTGTGGCCTGTAGGTAAATAGTTTCATTTAACCATTCATAAGATTTGAGCTATGTCACTTCATCAGCATCATGTCACTATGATATACACTAAGTTAGAAAATCAGTTGCTATTTTATTTCACCCCCAAAAAGTGATAACACAATGTGTTATGTCAACTTGACATGACAGACAGTGTCTGTTGGAATAAGACATGTATGTTTATGCCAGTTGTAATGACAAATCATAAGAACACTTGCCTACAGTAAAGTATTCCCCAAAACAGTGTTAGGTGGTCATTGTGGCTACAAGAGGGGATATATAATACTCATAAAAGCTTTGACATATGGTTCTAGGAAAATATAAATGGCATTACAATGGCTGTATTAAATGATAGCTCTATAATACAGTTGCATGCAAAAGTTTGGGCATCCATGGTTAGATTACGTTTTTTTTATTAACAATATGAAAATGAGTGATGCATCCTCTACAGAGAACACACAGTTACTGTTTAGTTACTGAATTTAACATTTTGTGAAAAATAAAGCATAAAATGTGGCCTGTGCAAAAGTTATGGCACACATTTTACGTTTTATTTTCTACTAATATTTTAAACTTGGCAACAAAAAAAAATGTGAAGTGAAGTTTGCAGAGAAATGCCATATTGTCACAGAAAGTGAAAAAGACATTAGTGAGGAGAATAATAAGAAAAGATATAGCAGATGTAGCTGAAGAAGGGTTGGACATAGCTTCTTACAGGGAGAAATAGCAAAGCTCTAACAAAAAGTTGTTCTTCTATGGCACATGTGTCAGGCTCCAATCCTCGTGGGCCAAAACACTGCAAACTTCAGCAATCTGCCTCATTAAACACACCTGATTCAGCTTATCAGCTAGTTAGCAAGGCCTTCATGAACTGAATCTCCACAGCACTTTGGCCCAGAAGCTCCCCAGTTTGATGTGCCTGTTCTACGGCTTCACTCCACTGAACCATTTATTTTAGCACCTTCATTTTTAAGTGTTTAGCATTTGAACTGCATATGCATGTGGAAGCATCATGAAGAACGTCTGACTTTTAGATTATGGTAAAAGAAAGACACAGAGTGAAAGGGGACAGCTAGGCTGCTGGTCTTAGATTTGAACAGGCTGCATAAGGAAAAGGTCAGGCAGCATCAGAGGGAAAACAAATGAAAAAGTAGGGGAAAGGAGAGGAGAAGACCTGGCAGGAGGAAAAACAAAGCTGTGCATGTGTATGCGAGGGTGTGAGGGGGAGGATGTATCAGTGTCAGAGGGTTGCTTGGGATTACTCAGAGCCGGCAGGGGGTCGGACCACTGACCCCACTGGTGTACGCAGAACATAAACACGGATGGGACAGAGCCCTGGCAGATAATTAGTGCTCAGTTGATGTTCCAGGAGCGGGGGCAGCTGGGTAATCACAGGCGGGGGTGAGGTCAATAACCGCGTCTGCAGTGTGTAACATGCACCCTCAGCGGCGGCCCCAGCAGATCAACATCACGCCGACTCCTTACTACTCACTAATGCGCCACGGAAACCCCACCAGGCAAGACGTCTGTGTGAGTATGTGCTTGTGTGTTTTTCTTAAGTGAGGAGGCAGCAGAGGGGGGTGCCGACACAGAGGACAGAGGACTCTCTTCATTGACTCTTCATTCTCTCTCCCTTCCAACTATCTAGGAACTTCTCGCTATCTACTAAAATATCCCATATAAAAGTATTTATCGATACATCAGTGCCAAAAAAAATGGATCCTAGAGCAAACTCTGAGGACTTTGATATGAGCTCAGAGAGCCAGGGTGTAAATGAGGGGTGTGGTCACTGAGCTAGTCTGTAATCTATCACTAAGCACAATTACACGCCTTACGCACCGCAGTCCAAACAAACAAACGTTCAAAACATAATCATCTACATATGCCTTAACAACAAAGTCAACCATTGAAAGCTCTCCAGGTTTTTGTTGTGTTCTGGTTAGAAACTATTTCTGCCCTTTAATATAATAAAAAAACAAGATCTAGTTTTTTATGAGGTATGAAAGTGGTTGATTCTCTTCAAATCTAAACGCTTTTGACATTTGGCACAAACTCACAGTTCTTTCAACCTTCAGCACTGAGTAAAAAAAATATTTTTTCAGAAACCAGATTACATTGAAAAGTGGATGTACTGCCCACTGATCCCCGATTATTCATGCTTCCTTAAAAAAATGATTGACCCTTTGATTAGTGGTGATGAGAGGGAGAAAAAGCATCATGGGATTAGAAACAATTCTGGTAAAACTTCTTTTTAGGCTTTAAAACAACTCAGAGTGAGTTATGCTTACGTTATAGCAGTGAGGAATGGACGCCTGGCTTTTAAGAGGTTAAACCTTGAAACTTACCACATCTCTTTCTTTTACCAAAGCATTCCCTCTTCTCTGAAGTAGCTGGGCAGGGCTTGCCCTGAGGGCTGGGGTTCTGTAGAACTTTGCGGGTACGGGTTTCTTCTCTAAAGCAGGGTTTTCCTATCCGCAAGCACGGACCCCATTCGCTCCACTCTCCCACCTCACAGTGTACTGAGAAAAGAGACAGGCCAGTCAGGACAGTTGGTCAGGCTTTTCTCTCTCTCTCTCTCCTTTTGCACAAACACATAGACCAACATGCACACACAAACTTGTTGCACTTTGATAAGGAAAGCATTAGAGCAGTGTTTCTCAACCTTGGTCTTGGAATATTTTTGCCCTGCACTGTTAAGTGCTTTCCCTGCCATAACTCACCCTCTTACAGTCAGGAAGGACTTGTTAATAAGCTAAGTGTAAAAATGCATTGATGCATAGTGATGATCTAAAGGTGGTGCTTTGACTTTGGAATTTTAGAATGGATTATCAATTATAATACTATTCCATAAAATATGCACTTCATTTTTGCTGAAAAAACAATTCTTGAGCTATTTTTAACTTAATAATACAAAATAAATCTTGGTGAATTGTTTATTGTCTTTATTCCTCTACTGTGTAAATTGATGCTATAGTCCTACATTTGTACATTGAAAAGACTTGTAAATCGTATCAAATTAATCAGATTGAATTCAATCATGGTGAAATTTAAAGACTTCGTGATGCAATTAATCTTTTCAAATGATTTTGTAATCAGATCACTATGAAGTGAGAAACTGAAAAGCTCTGATTTAGGGTGTTTTTATATTTGTGGTTCGGTTCCTTTGGTTCTCAGCAAAGTAGAAAATGATACACGACATGGCCAAATGTATATGGACACCTGACCATCACACCTATATGAGCTTGTTGGACACTACATTTCAGCACCATTAATATGGCTTTTTTTTTTTTACAATATTTTGAAATGTGTTTATGGGAATTTGTGCCCATTCAGTCAAAAGAGCAGTTGTGAGGTCAGGCACTGAGGGTGGACGAGAAGACCTAGTTTGCAATTGTTCCAAATCATCCTAAAAGTGTTCAGTGGGGCTGACGTCAAGGCTCTGTACAGGCCACTGGAGTTCCTACCTACCAAACTCATCAAACCATGTCTTTATAGACTTCAATTTGTGCACCGGGGCACAGTTATGCTAGCCTATTATTGTCTAAAATATCTTTGCATGCTGTATCATTAAAATTACCCTTGGAACTAAAGCACTGAGCTCAAACCCTGAAAAACAGTCCCAGACCAATATTCCAACCAAACTTTACTTTTGGCACTATGCATTTCAGTAAGTAGCATTCATCTGGCATCAGCCAAACCCAGAGTCATTTCCATTGCATTAGAGTCCAGTGGCAGCATGCTTTACATCACTCCAGCAGATGCTTGGCATTGCACATAGTGATCTTAGTCTTGTGTGCAGCAGCTCAACCACAGAAACACATTTTATGAAGCTCCTCACGCACAGTTCTTGTGCTGATGTTGCTTCCAGAGGCAGTTTGAAACTCTGCAGCCAGTGATTAAGCAAATGATGCAGAAGATTTTTACTTGCTACACATTTCAGTGCTTGCGGGCTCCGCTCTGTGAGTTTGCATAGTCTACCACTTCATAGCTAAGTTGTTGTTGCTCCTAAATGCTTTCATTTCACAAGAATAGCTGACTATGGTAGACCTAGCAGGGAAGAAATTTCATAAACTGACTGCTTGATTTTATAGATCTGTTAGCAGTGGGGGTGGCTGGAACACCTGAACTCAATAATTAGGAGGAGTATCCACACACTAGTGTACGTTGTTGCATTTTGGTTCTGGTCTGCTTAGTGTTCACTCTGACATATTTGACATCAAACCAAAAGATGTAAACAAAAGTCAAATGGACAAAAATCTAAATAGATTGGTCAAAATTTTTGATGTACATGTTGTGACATTAACTAGGATAATATTCACCAAACTTTCTATACCACACTGTTTTCTGGTCCAACTGGGCTTGTGGGTTTTATGTATGTCCTGTGATATTCCAAAGCAATAAGCCATGAGAGGCTGAGCATCACTGTGGTTTTTCCACAATGTGAAGCAGGCTGAATCATTGTAATACAGTCTGAAGTGTCTTACTGCTTCTGTTACGTTTTAATGGTGAAAACATCTGTTTAGACATCTTTGGTCCATATTGCTTGCATACTTTAAAGTAATCACAGAGTTCGTTCGGATAATGACTGAGACCAACCTCTTCAGAGTGCGCGCCATGGTTTGAATGGCAGTGTTCTTACATATTCTAATGAACTGCACTAACAGAGCAATCGCACCAGAGTTCATTTTTATCAAACCAAATTTGCCAAGTACATAAATGCCCTTAGACAAAGGACTTAGAGGCACTCACCTGCAGGGACACACTCCATCAGCTGCTCACTGGGCTCAAATTCCTCAGGGCACACACTGTGACACTGACCATGCAGCAGGTAGTACCCTGGCATACACCTCGTGCAGGTTTCACTGTTTAGACAGGAGTCACAGTCCGCTGGGCATGCTGTAAGACCAATACACAAAAACACACACCATAGCCATCACACAACAACAAAACCTCTCAACAGCTGGTGCTGCATCACCCGTGACTTTACAAATGCCAACATGCAGTTATTGCAGCACATTTTCTCTTAGAGCAGCAAACTGACATATACTGTTCTGATAACAGATGGAGGTACTCACGAGGGACACACTCCCTTTTGGCGTCACTGGGTACTAGCTCGTCAGGGCAGCTCTCTTGGCATTTTCCCTTGTGTAGATACGAGCCTGCTCTGCAGCGCGTGCAGAAGTTCTTGTCGAAGCAGGTGTCACACTCGGAACCACACTCTGGAAGGTCATAGAGAACTTTTTAAACCCTGAAAGCTATGGGCTTGTATGTCTATTTCTCTAATAACTACATACATAACAGTTGCCAATTCATAGTAGTTACTGAATAATAAGCTTCTCCACTTAGACAGGGGACAAATAAGGGTTAAAACAACTAGATCCAAATATGTTTCTTTCATTTCTATTTAATTTCATTTGATAAAGCATTGCTACTTCCTAGCTGCTTTAGCTCTGCGCTATTATTCACAAATAAATATGCAGGTATGGATATCTGTTACTGTACAAGTGTAGTAGAACTCAAGAACAGATGTCACTGTTACTGTATAAGGGTGGTAGAATTCAGGTATGGATGTCTATGTTACTTTATAAGTGTAATATAACTCACGTATGGATGTCTATGTAGCTGTATAAGTGTGGTAGAACTCAGGTATGGATGTCTGTTACTGTATAAGAGTGGCTTTTCTACTGTCACTTGCTGTGTACCGGAGAGCTACTGTGCAACCGAAGAAAAAATCCTTGTTAATTTATGGAGAACTGATTTGGTTACATTGATAACGTATTATGACTAGGTCAGTAAATACTAAAGCATTAGTTTAGCGGTCATTAAATGTGTAGTTACTGCAGTCAACACTTCAGTTCCTCACCTTCATAACTACATAACTTACAAATGAATTTCATAATATTTACCAAACAATTTATTATAGTTACTGAATAATAATTCTTACAATTAATAACAATAAGAAACCTGAGGTTTAAGGGCTTAATTTATGATGACTAGATCTCCTACACAGCAGCTACATAGAATGGGATTAATAGGTGTTTGTGACTCTTACTCGAGCAGTCATTTTTTTCAGGAGAGCGAGTTCCGAAGAACCCTTTGGGACAGGAAGCCAGACACACGCCGATCTGCCGCATGCCGTCCCTCTCCAGGTGAATAAAGAGCTTGGGCAGGCACGTCAGGCAGCCATTGTGAGTCGAGCAGGTCAGACAGCCTCCTGGGCAGTCTTGACTCCCTTCTAAAAACACAAATCAGATAAATAAAACAAAATCAAAGCATTAATGCAGGTGTGGTGACAAGTGTGAAGATGTGTTGAGCTACTTCCAAACCAGCCTTGGCAAAACTCCTGTTCTAAAAACAACGTTTTGGCAAGCAAAAGCATCTGAAATGTGGTCGATATAGCTAACATTTCTCTTTATGAGATTGTTGTGAGAATATGAAGAGTTTAATTTCAAAATGTTATACATCCAATTGCAACAATTTTCAACATAAGATTTTGAAAAGAGTAACAGCTGATCTGTAATGCGAAACACATTTTTATTTCTCTAAATTCTTAAATGTGGTCTATAACGCATTTTGACCCAAAACCCTTCATATAGACTGTTCAACCTATTTACCGACATTTTATGCTTATTTTGTAAAGTCAAATTATATCATTGCATTGGCATATCATTTTCCCTGTTTTGAGAAACAATGCTTTAAGAAAGAAAAATCTGCCAGTGTAGTAATATACTTTAACTTGATAAGATCACTTTATAGAAATAGGTTAACTAATTTTATAATATTCTTACAACAATCTCATAATGATACATATTAAATATATTGCCAAAATTAAAAAAGGAATTCCATGATTTCTTTTTCAAAGTTTCTGCATAATTTAAGCTTTGAAATATAAATAAAATCAGTCAGTCAGATTTCTTTGTTTTGGTTATGATAGGAACCAGGACTTGTGATGTCTACAGTGCAAAAATAGCCATTTTATTTATTTTTCCAAAAATGACCAGTGAACTTGGTAAAGAAATGACAATTGAAGAAAATATGAAGAAATAAATATGAAGAAAATATGTTTTCTTTCTAAACTATTTTACCTGATAACACTCTGCATGTACCCCTTTACCATGAACAGATATTTAAAAATTATGTTTTAGGTCAAAACTTTGTCTCAAAACTAGCGTAAAACAATGTCTCAGACAGAGAATTTGTAACAATTTAATGTAAAAATGTTCTGTGATGTAGTTTAAGATGCATTAAACAGATGTCAAAACAAATTGACCAGGTAACTTTCTCTAGAACAGAGCATTTCACAACAAACCACTCTGAATGACTTCATTAACATCTTAGTGATTTAATAATGTACAAAAACAAATACTCCATGGAATTCCTCTATAAGATGCTTACAGTCATCAGAATATCACTTTTGTAGTGTACGCATCAGAGGCCAATTCTGTTTCATCTGTGCGTATGTGTGTTGTTCTTAAGTTTTACCATTTTGTGGTTTCCCAGAACAAAGGAACAGAATGTTTTTTCATATTTTTCAGTGCCATCCTCACATTCCCCCAACATGGTTGAAACCATAATGATAGCAGGCCTACTGTTAGAAGTAGTTATCCTGCTGAGCATGCCATCACTGTGCTCATATTCCACAATCACTCCTTCAAAAGTTATCTAATCATATTTTGTGTTCTGGTTTGGATTAAACGCAACTGGCTTCTGTTCATATAACTTTTAATAAAATCAGCCCCAGGATATGAGCAGAGAATGAACTGTTTGTTCTATCCATACCTCGATATTTTTTCGAAAATTTTCCAAACCAACCCTAGACAAGCTGGACTACGGGTTCTCTCTACATTTTGAAAACGCAACTAGAAGCATTGGGAACAGTTAAATGGTTCCAGGTTTGGCTCAAGAAAGAGCAGAGCTATCAATTAAGCCTGCGACAATGACCATAATGTAGCGTAATAATAAACATGACAGGAAGCACCCTTGCCTGTGGATTCTCCTGCCAGAGAAACTAATCAGCAGAGACACGCTGCATAACAGGGCTTGCACGCAAACACCAGCACAGTAGCAGTTGTGTCTATAAGCGCAATAACAGGCCGGCCCTGCTGTGACAAAGATACCAGTGAAAATCAACCCGTGCCAGCATGAGACCATGGGAATAGGCAGGAGCGAGCCGCCACAAAAAAAGAGTGAGTAAGAGCTTCCCCGTGGCCACATGACATATTTAAGAAAACACTCTCACTCCATCGGCTCCTGTGTCATCTATGTCTGTGAGTCACTGCATTCCCCGTTCATGGAAAGCCGGTCAGGATTTTTTTTGTTGTTGATGTTGGACAATATGATTTGGGACACAGAGATCAGCCACAGGATATGAGCAAAGCATACATTTCTCATACTATCCATATACCTCAATATTTCCTAAAACATTCCAAACCAACCCTACAGGCTGGATGTCAAATAATTTCTACAGATTTTTTTTTCATTAAAATTCAATATTGCTACCCTGTCTGGTCTCATTCTGCATTTTAATGCCAGGATTCTTTTTTTGTTTATAAATGTGTCTTTGTGAATGTTTAAAATTGCATTGTAATAAATGATTTGCTCTCAGACTGCCTTAAATGTTGATTTCATTTAACTTCAAATAACACATTTACAGAATAAGATGCAAGTCTATTGTAGATGCTTTGTAGATGCTAACCTTGCTAACTCATGTTCAACTAAATATCTACTATATTTACCTTCATTTTCCCTATCCCTGAACCTGCTTCTAACCCTAAACCTAACCTGAAAGTAATGTGTACAGAGCCATCCAACTAAAATCCTGTCCTATGCTCCATGTGGTCATGTGGCCTATAAGAGAAGTAGCATACTGTAGTGTGACCTTTTTTGAGAGGGAAGACTAACATCAAACAGTCAGTCAAGCATCCAGAAAAGCAGGCCGATAAATAGAGCATGTGCTCACTGATTACATCAGCATAATAGCGCAGGCTTATAGTGGCGTGCCAAGGTGACTGATTTACATTAAATACCTCACCGAATTCCTGAGCCTAAAAATGGATGGTGCTCTTTGGCTGGGTGAGAGAGGACTACTGATTGAAGTCAATTGGTTCCATGTGTTTCTTGCAGGTCAGAGGCTCAGATGGTAGATGCCTCTGAATTCAGGAGAGGCTGACCTCAACACATAGGCCTCAACATACAGGAGAGGCAGTGGACAAGGCAAGTATGCTTGTGTTCTGATTCAGTCTTTAAAGGCCTAGATCATTGAAAAATTTCAGCTCACAGCAGGTCTGCCAATTCAAACTGAAGTTATGAAGAATGCTTCAGTCCAGACTGCCAGTCAGAGCAGAGATCACTTACATATATCAGTCTTAAAGGCACAGTAATAAAACAGCTTGTTTAATTCTAGGTAATAAAGAAAGCTGATGCTGCCACAGAAGTAAAGGTGAGATTTTTGACAGAAAACAGACAAACAAAGTGATAAAGAAAGAAAATTAAGAATTTGGCTTATGGCTTAGTTGGATTTGCTCCTTTAATGGACTGTAAATTTGAAAACACAGCAAGATATGAATTTTTTCTATCCTATTAATGAGAAAAACAGTCATCAGAGACTGATTTATGCACACTGATTAAGCCTAATGTGAATCACAGTCTTAAAGCTACCAATCTGAACATAAGGTTTGTACCTACTGTGCCACACAAGCATAGAGGTGTTTTCAACCTGTTCTCTCCTTGCTCTCGCATTCCATGCCACTGAACTGCACTTTTTTTCTCCTCTTATTCCCTGAGTTCAGTGTTGGCTGCCAGATTGCAATAGATCATGGATATTCTGTTTGACATATCTCTGCAATCTTTACAACTGCTGTCCATTTGCCCACATGCGTTCCTGCCAAGGCTGTCTAATTCACAGAACCCTTAACACGGAGGAATTCTGCCTGCCCTTGTGCTGCCACAGGCTCAGGGCTTACTTGCATAACCAAAGCACGAGCATGCCTGAGATCTGAACTCTCTGAATTGTTTCGCCACGGTTCAAACCCAGCGACCGCAAAACGAGCATTCCCAGAATCAATTTGATTAGCGGCACAGTTAAAACTTAATTAAATAACAGAGTTTCAGACTCGAGAATTAAGGCACAGCTCTGAGCCATGCCCAGGGACTTGTGGTCTGAGTCATCGTAGAACACAGTTCATTTCCTGAGACATTAATGATATGAGGCGGCCACACACAGACACAGATGATTAGTCAAAATGAAGCAAACAAAAGAAATTAGTTCATATAGAATGTTAACATACTGGTGAAATGGCATGTGGCACATTTAACTCACATAAGTTAATTAATTAGGAGTAGATCGGGACGGCACACTGTATTCAATACTGTTGTGGAAATGGAGCAGATTAGTGCTGCATCTGGACACTCAGGTACATAGTATGTCCAGTGGAAACACTGACCAATATACAGACGTATGCAAATGTTTGAACACTCCCGGTTAAATCAAGTGTTTTGTTGATTTTGTAAGTGAAAATAAGTTAAACTTTAATATGGAATTTTTCTTCAAATTTTATATTTATTTGCTGGCAAAAAATTAAACATAAAATATAAAATGTGCTGTAACTTTTGTACAGGTCATATTTTTAGGTTTATTTTCCCCAATATGTTAAAATTAACAAATAAACAGTTATTTTGCATTAAAAGGTGCAGAAGTGTGTTCTCTGCAAAGGATATGCGGAGGATTATATTCACTCAGAAAATCAACAAAGCATGTCTTTTGAAAGTGCCAAACTTTTAAAAACAATGGTTCCTAAATGGTTCTGGGCCACAGTATATGGTTCTAGGAAAAACTGAAAAAACCTGCAAAAGTTATTCAAACTTTATATACTTTAAACATTAAATTATCTTAAATACAAAAAAAAGGCTCTTTCCCATTGACTGGAAGGTTTTTCAGTCAATGGAAATACAGTATACAGTCTGTGTGTTGTACCACATTCTGCATTGCTGTTTCCGATTAAATAAAAATAGTATCAGCAAGTGTCCAAAAACAGGCTAAAGTGTGACCTTTTATCTTGTAAAAGTCACAGCTTGTAGTTGCACATAGCCTGCTAAGTGAGGAGGCAGGAAGCGTTTGTGGTCAGGCGCCCGCTGGGTCACTCACTGTGAACTCATATTGTGGCTGTGGTCATTCACCCATCTATCTGTCTGTCACAGCTGATCGCAGCTCCCTCAATTAGCAGTCTCAGATCATGTATATCACACCACTGATAGTCTCCATCACTGACTTGTTTAAAAGTCTACAAACAATGCCAACAGTCTACATAATGTAGGTTATTTTATTTACATCCACGTTCATTCTGATCACCAACATCTGTGCATCAGTATAAATCAAAGGAAACGTGTGACCGTATGGTAAAAATGACATTTTCCTCTAGCATGAGACTCAAATAAGGGAAATAAAACCAAAGAAATGTGAAATGTGGAGTTAATTGAACTAACAAGCTTCCTGAGGGAGGATTATATCTCTCTCATGGGCATAAAACCGCAAACCACATATGCAGAAGACAGCGGCCTGACCGCAGTTCAGTTCTCACTGCTGGCCCAGAATTATTAACAGGCACAGGTCATGAGACTTCATTAGTAAGGTTTACACTTTCATATGTTTCGTATTGACCGCTTCAGCGCATTACTGCGAGGAAAAGGGAAAGACATGACGTCCAGAAAGGACGCGGTTTCTCGTGCTCTTCTTCTGCGGGCCTAATCTAAAGCAGAGTTTTCTCATTTTAAGTCAATTACAAATTCAGGTCATGATCGTTCCACTCATCCATTTTCTCATATAATACGATCATTCCGTGTTTAAACTGCAAAATAAGTCGCAATTTCACGACTGGAGAAATGTTATGAACTTTTCTGGAACACACTCTGAGATGGCGCTGCTTCAGTGCCTGTATAAAATGGTTTGAATCTTATTTTTTCTCTCGTTAAAGACCTTTTCAAAGCTCGCATACAAACTTTTTTTCGCTTTTCTATAGAGTCAGCAGCTTCTTCGCTCACTGTTTTTGGCCATGCTTATGTGGTATAGAAAACTGACATTTCTCCAGCTCCAGGGCAGGGTGCTCTCTGAGACAGGGCTCATCACTGGTGCCCCAGAACGCGCTGCAAGCGCATAAGCTGTTCTACTTCACATTTAGTACTGACCACTAGAGAGCGACCCAAACAAGGGATTGGAGCGCGCCCTCGGGGGTGACCAGTGGAGCACTGAAACATCTAAACCATGACCGGCGTAAACGCATGCATGTTTAATGCCACTGCTGTCTGTGAAAAGACCTCGTTTCCCCGCTTCTTATAAGCCTGTACGTGAGTAATGAACTCTTAATGCCCACTGGCACCAGTTACGCACAGGAGACCGATAGAGTCCAGTTTTCAGCACAACATCCACTTCGAGCAGCACTCCAAACCTAGTTATTTAGGCTCTAGTCCGATAAAACTAATATGTCTATCCACAAAAAGAAATGTGATGTGAAGCCAAAAGCACCGGTTAATATTCTAGCTTTAGCTCGAGCGCTGAGTGGAGTCTCCTGAGTGGGCTCACTCGCTCCTTTGCGCGGAGTTTGGCTGCGGACGCACAAGTCCACCAAGTCCTTGAACACACTTTTAGTTTTCCCCAACCAGAAGCAGAAAGCAGGAGCGCTTTTAGCGCAGTTTAAAAGCTTTGACGCAAACTTTTCCCTCAGACCTGTGCATAAGTCGCATTTTGTTTTAAAAGTTCACATCTGAAAGACTAAACGCCAACAGCGACAGTGCAGTCAGCCTGCGCCGCGCGCCGCTCAGACCGAGCGCAGGTGCGCGTGAAGCATCCAGCCGCGCGCGCGCTTACTTACGTTTGTGCTGCCGGTGCTTGGAGGCGTGATGCTGACAGTCCGCGTCCTCCATCCAGTGCAAGATCAGAACAAGGGAGATCAGTTGTTGTAATTGCATAGTAACCAGGGGTTCGGTTTGGTGGTGTTTTTTCTTGGGAGGGAGGTGGATGGGGAGGGAGGTGGACGATGCTCGCTCGTTAACGATCCTCAACGTCCTCGACGCTGCACTCACGCGCTCCTACCCCGACTCTGCTCGGGACAGCCTCTGATGGCCCGTTGAGCCCCGGGCCGGTTAGGCAGTAACATCCTGAAAGCAGTCCGCATGCGGGCCACTGAATGCTGGGTGAAATGCAGAAGCGCGAGCGTCACCGAGGTGTCCCGGGACTGTTGCTCATGTCACAGGCACGAGGGTCTCATAGCGCGCCGTAGAAAGCCAAGCCTGAAGAAGGTAGTAAGGGGCGTGAAAAGCGTGGATTATCCTCAGCGCAGTAATTCCCCGCGCGTCCAGGTGTGAAGAAGGCCACTTTATGGCGCGCGGCGTGGAGGAGGAGGAGGTCCCCGCGTCAGCAGCATCGCGCACAGCCAGCTCCAACTTTCACACTAAGTCAGTATGAAACAGCACTATAACCTCGCTTTTTTATATTACTGACGCAATCTCGATAGCTCAAAGCCTCACGGTTGAGCAACTCTCTCTCTCTCTCTCTCTCTCTCTCTCTCTCTCTCTCTCTCTCTCTCTCTGCTCTGTTCACCGAGCCAAACACACTCTCGTTCGATAACTGATGACTTCAGCTCTCTGCCGTCCCTTTCCCCCCTTTCTGAACTCCAAAGTTTATTTAGAGGGTGAGCCCCCCACGTCAGACCCCATCCACCCGTCCACCCCTCCACCCTACTTACCGGTAGTGGCAGAAAAAAAGCCATATGATCATATGCGCCGTCTGAGGCTGTTCGTCATGACAAGCCCCACAAATGTAGTCTAGCTTTTGCTTGTTAGCTCTGCTTGCTTTGCATCCTTTGACAGGCCTCATCAGGTGGCCTGGCCTACAGTCCAGTTACAGTATGAGGTTTGCAAATAAACCGACTAAAAAAAAAAAATGCTGTGTGCCATAAAAAGAGATAAGATACGATTTTAAGACTGTTCTTACAATAAACACGCTGTAATTCAAAATACAATTTCAAGGGTCAGAAAAAAAGGGAAAAAGTAATTGTTTAGTGCTGTAACATATTAGAACTGGGTCCATAGCAAACCCAAACACTGTCTTGCAGCAAGAGATATATTAGGGAGTTAATAATTCAAGATGATAAAAGGATGCCAAAAAGCCTATAAAAAATGAACACATACAGTAATGTATCGATCAGGAGTACCCTTACTCATCATTCCCCCCAATATTACTGCTCAACTTTGTTTCACATATTCAGCAAAGTCCAAGAGAAAGTCTCAGCTTCAGCCTCAGTTTGGGTAACAATATTATAACTTTACTACAACTGTATTGTTACTCTCAGAAAGAAAATAAAACTTTTCAAAAGGAATCATCTACTGTATTATTAGGCTTATCCAATTCTTTGCATATCATCAATCATCTGCTTAATTCTAGAGTCTTCACTAATTGCTCCAGTACTTGGTGTAAAACAGTATCACCACCTAAATCTACATATTAAGCTAAGATATGCCCTGTATCTAGTAGGCTTACATATTCAAATAGTGGTGTAGCCTGCAGTACATATGTGGAGGTCACCAAGATTGGAATTGGCTATGGTCACTGGGAGGAATCCAGGAGAAATAGAGCCTCTTTCTCTCCAGTTGCCAAGCAGTGTACCGGAGCGAGTCCAGCATTGAGCGTCTACTTCTGAGAATGTTCAGACTCTCGATAATGTTGCATGACCAATTCGAAAGAACCAAGAAGATCAGATCAGTGTGCAAATAGATTCTCAAATCTTTGCTAATTTTCTGGAAGTTTGTCTTTTATATTTCCAGTATTCCACAGAGACAGAAAGAGAGATAAAGCAGAAGTTGAAAGAGTCACAGCTGGGGTCAGCCATGGTGCAGCACCCCTGGAGCGCTTTGGTTCATGTGTCTTGCTCAAGGGCACAATAGTGGTGTACAGAGAACTGAACTCAGATGGCAGAAAAACCTCTGGCTGAATCTGTAGGATTCATCTAGTTAAATGACAGCCAAAACCCCCTGTTTTAAATGTGTAATTTTTGTACACAGTGGGAGGATTAAGCAGTATGTCCACAGTGATAAACACAGGGCAGAATTACGCCACGTTTGAGCGCCAGGGAAAGAACAGTGCTGCTCTTAGCCTCTAGAGGGAGTCAGCGTTATGAGAGCATCCCATGAGGGTGCAGGCTGCATCCCCAGCAAATTTGTGGGCCGTTTGTTTTCTGGAAGGCCTGAGATGCATTTTCATTTGATATGCAGCAATGGCCACATAAAGACAAACGCATGCATTTTTGTGTGTATGCTCTAGAGCATAAACAATGGTAATGATTACTGGTGTACGTGAGAGCGCTGCACAGTGCAGTGGTCCTCCTTCTTCCCACAGGGAAGCTTATTTACACGTCTGGCACTGGAAGGAGAGGCCTGCTTTTCCTAAGCAGTGTGTTGATGTTTATAAGAACATGAGGCAGACCAATGTTTCCCCTTTTGTGGCTGCTCTATCAATCACAGTAGGGGCGGAGGGAGAAATGCCAGAATGTCGCGGGGACTACTTCTTTTAGGGCAGAGCAGTCAGTGCCCTATAAATGCTGGTGGAGGAAGTACGTTTTCATTTTTAAATTGGAACATTAAGGAGAGCTTTTGAGGATTTCAGCCACAAGAGCGAAATAGCTTAAAAAAAAAAAGAAAGAAATTGCTTTAAAAGTCTATGGCTATCAATGTGGGGGGCAGAAATTCCACAGGAGTTGATCTTCAGATGGGGGGTAGAATAAAGCCTTTCTTTGTGCCCCCACCCCTTTGACAAAATAAATCCCAGGGAAGAACACTAGCGAGGAACTAGCGTAGGAGAGGAGGTGAGGTCATTTGGTCATTCTATGCGATGGCTGATGAGAGAAGCCGTCAGCAGCCTGAAATGAAGTTGGGCAGGTGCACTTCTCCAGCACCGAGCAAAGGTAACTGAAAATGTGAGTGCCAGTGTGTGGGAACCGCATGTAGAACCAGCAAAAAAATTGTAGTGCTGTGGCTGATCAAAGCATATAGCACAGTCTAGACATGAGGATTTTGCAGAAGCTGTGAAAGTGAGGTCACCGTGACATCAAAGCCAGGACACTTGCCTTCGTGCAGTTCAGTTACAGTGATTTCACACGTTCCTGTCCGGAGAGGCATCCAGAGCATCAGCCACAAGCCAGAGAGCAGATCCGTGCAGTCTCTGCTGTGTCATTGTACACTGTGCTTGGCTCCATCGGCCTTCATCCAGCATGATCCTCTTACATTCTCCACACATGAAGTGAACAGTTGGGGGGGGGCAGACAGGAGGGAATGGTGTGATGTGCAATAATACAGAGCCTCCCCTAACAAATGGCTGCTGCTTCATGAAATTCTCCTATCTGGAGCTGGAAGGCTTAAATCAAACCGCAGTGCATGAGGTAATCGGTGGATCATGTTTGGCGGCCAGGGGGGTGGGGGTTTCTGCCCTGCAATAAAGACAGTTAATCAGGAGTTTGGGTCCGTCAGCTGCATAAGCAAAGTGTAAACATCAGTGTGTGGGGAGTCACGTGAAGAATTTTTGGAAGCCTAGGTGTGTGGATGTATCACAATGTATTTACTTCTTTTTGGGGGCCAGGGCAGTAGATGTAGCTACAGAAAAATAAAAATCAGAAGTAAACAAACTTGTTTGTGGTGTTAATGTCCTTTTATTGTATTTGGATGAGTCCTCCCTCCTCCCTTTCCACTGTGGAGTCACTGAAGTTCCTGGGTACCGCAATATCCAGGGACCTGAAGTGGAAGAGGAACATGCTCTCCATAGCCAAAAAAGCACAGCAGAGAATGTTCTTTCTCAGAAAGCTGAAGAAATGTAACCTGCCATAGAGCCTGATGATCCAGTTCTACACAGCAATCACCAAGTCCATTCTTACATCATCCATAACCATCTGGCTTGATTCCCCCACCTCACAAGAACGAGTCAAACTCCAGTGCATAATCAGGGCAGCGGAGAGGATCAGGACACCTACAACAGGGTAATGAAGCATGTTCGTAAAATAATAGCCGACCCCTCTCATCTTGGACATCACCTCTTCCAGCCACTTTCCCCTGGTAGAAGATTCAGGGCCATCAAAAGCAGCACAGCCAGACATGCCAAGAGCTTTTTCCCCAGAGCTGTAGCACTCATTAACTACAGTGGACACCTCACAATTTAAACTTAAACTGAACTTAACAAACTTCCCTGTGCATAGATAATCATATCTGCATATGTACAGATATTCATACATTTCTTTGATCTCCTCTCACACTGAGTCTTCATTATTCTTACTTTATTCTATTTATTGTATTTTTATTTTATTTGTCCCTTACAGAAATATGGGTTAGTGGTCTGTGTGCTTGTCTGGCCTGTACAGTATGTTACATGTCACACATGTGTGCACTCACCAAGACAAATTCCTCATCTGGGTAACATACTTTGCGAAATAAAGTGATTCAGATTCTGATTCTGATCTTCACCTGCTCCTCCAGAAGCCCTGCAGCATTAAGTGGTTTTGGCCGACATTTTTCAAGCGTTCAGTGGATGCTTTAACAGGCGCGGAGCTCCACACCCCCACTGCATTAAAAGAACCCTGAGGAATTTCTGGGTGACCCTGACTAATTTGAGCATGATTGTGGCATTAACTACGCATTCCTTCCGAGCCGTGCCTCTAGTCTGCAGACCCAACTTTTCTATAAATGGAACACGAGCGGAAGAGAAAGTTGATCTTCTCACTGGAAAGTCATCAAGTTATACATTTCAGCATGACCACGGTGTGGCCATCAGTTAAACACATGTCCTGAATCAAAGTGGACAAAGCTCCCTGAAATCACTCTAATCTGACAAAAACACAATGAGCAAAGCAGACCTAAGCAGACTTGTGCAGGATTTGAGACTTGCTGGATGACTGTGCATTGCCAGCAGCTCAGTACAGTGGAGTCAAACCCATAACCCCCTGCAGATTTAATCAAGG